AATGCCATAATTAAACATATGAGAAAATAACTGAGCTTTAAAGGTGGTGTTGGGTAAATGTTGTTACCTTAAGACAAACACTAGCTGTTTCCACTGTTTCTGGTATTTATGCTAAGCTAATATAGCTTAACCCTAACCCTTTACCCAATTTTCAAAAATAACAACACTCTCCTTTCTGTCAAATAATCAATTATTGAATTAACTAATTGCTTCTTGGTTAATACTTAAACGGTCCCCTCGTACAAGTGACTGCTCAGACTGCCGGTTTCACTCGCTGTCCCTCTAGACAGTTTCATTGTCTCACACACAAAAAGGAAAAAATCAGGCACCGAGGCCGATAGATCGGTGATAAGATGAGTGCCCCAGATTTGTCTCTCTCACGCTCCCCTATTATCCAGCTGACTCCTCACTGACCCGGCATTGGTGGCTGTGTAATGCAGAGGACTGTTCTGATCTCACTCACGCTCTTTGTCTGCACATGTCAGTGTCCGATGTGAGCGTCTGTGTGTTTACAAGGTGTGTCGGAGAGCCTCCCCGGCCCGGTCAATAATTACAGTCCCTGCAGAGCAGAAGGAGAATTTTCTTGCCTTATTAAAGCAGAAAAGACGTCTGAGAGGAGACATCCTCGTTCACGAGACGTGAGGGGCTGTTGTTGTTATTTGAACGCATCACATCCAAAGAACAGCAGAGAACTTACAGAAAGAATTACATTGAGGGTGAAAGGAGAATTTTATACTTCCACCAACATGATTTGCAGTTTAAACAGGAAGTGGAATGGGAGTAAAACAACAGCACATATGTTTTCATACAGTGGGAACATAAACCTCTTCCTTCTTTCCGCAGTTCTTTGTTCCATCAGAAGCTAAACATGATGCTGATCTGCTGCATCAGGATGTCATACCGACTGCGTCATGCGCGCTGGTGTGTGTGTGTGTGTGTGTGTGTGTGTGTGTGTGTGTGTGTGTGTGTGTGTGTGTGTGTGTGTGAAGTATACGTTCCTCCTTTACAACGAGGTCTGGCCTGTTTTACACAGATCACATTAAGACGCTCCAGATTACACGGCAGAATCTGCCTCGCAGAGACAGCCTGATTGAATTGGCTGCTGCTAATACACCGATTAGGGAACTCTGTTTGCATCCTAATCCTCCTCCTCCTTCTCCCTCGTCGCGCGGTGGGAAGGTGTGTGAGAACAGGTTGGCCGACAGACATTCACTGTAGAATTGCACTTGCCAGGGCAACTTTAAGCCGGTGTGATTTGGTTGTTAGAGAGACGCTGAAAGTAGTCGTCCATCAGCGCGCTTGAGATTGTTACTAATGTTAAAATGCTGAGGAAGCTGTTTTTTGCATACGGCATGGAACTAAACAGGTAAGGAATTGGAAGCAAATGGGGACTCAAGTTTATTGGTTGTATTAGGCCACCAAAACCAAAAGGAACTTTGGACTCCAGATTGTACAGCATTGACACGGTCATAAAGAAATGCTCAGGTCAAACATATAGATATTACAATCACGTGATCTCCAACCACAGCCTGCAGCCGAGGGCATGTGCTGAAGCTTGGGGGGAACCCTTTCTGGGGATTGTTGTGTAGCCCAACTAATTAGTAAAAATATACATTTTTAAATACTAGTTTTAAAATTAAAATATCCTCATATTAAGTATGCTAACGCAAATTATTCAAAAACTCCTAATTATGGATAAGCAGTTAAAATAGCTGAAGGAACTGTGGACCAGAATGGGAGCTGTTGCCCCTCGATGCCTCTCCTGGTGGCCCGTCCGGGACGATGTCGACAGGAGGAGCGCCTCGAATTACAGACAGCAGCTTCCCAACGTGGAAGAGGAAATATATAACACGAACAATGCAGAGGGAAACCGTCCATATTCTTTCAAAGGTGGTCGCCATTCATTCAGAAGTAAAGCTCTGGATATCTAATATATTGTTGGAATGGGAACATTACCATGCGCTTTTTAAAAGGAGGAATCAACTCATTGATTCTCCATGCACCGTGTTTATCATGATTCCCTTTCAGCATCTGTAACTTGTAAACACTTCCACCTTTTGAGCAAAAGGGGGAGCAGTTAGCAGCTGTAAAACACACCTTCCTCTGTGCACAGTGTGAGGGCTTAAGCAGACAACCTTGAAATCTTAAGTGACAGCTATTTTCAAAGCATACGGGATGTCCGTTCCTCTTCTGCTGTGAAAGTCATTATTGCATTTTGCTCAGAGTTTAATGAGCCCACAGGTTGATGCAATGGCCTCCGCTTTCTCCTGCTTAGATCTTCACACCGGTAACTGGTAACCCTCACATAGAGATAAAGAGACTGAAACGCTGTGGTGCACAATAGCTGAATGCACCGTGACAAGTGGCGGCTGCTTTTGTGTGCCGCTTTTTTACTCTGCACAGACGTCCATGGGCATTCAAATCTTTGAAAATCCATTAAAAGCTGCCTCAAACACGAGGGATTTTTAATTATTTACGTATCTCAGTGTGTGTTTTAAGAGTTACTTATTCATATCCCAAGTGAGGTGTCAAATTCCTTGTTTGCACATTTAGACAGAGACGTCCCTTAAAGAACATGACTCTTTTTTGAACATCTGTTTTGTTTTTTTGACCTGCAGAGGTTATGAATTGACACAACAATTGGGCGTCAGTTGTTTGTTGTCTGGGAGAAGCCTGTTTTATAATAGGATGAACAGAGATGATACATCTGGCAAAGTCATGTTTCTAATATTCCATTTGCCAACCTTTACCCAAAAAGAGAGCTTTTCAATTGCTCGCCGTTAAATAAGATGCATTTGAACTTAATCACACAAAAACGGCATGCAGGTAGAAACAGCAAGTCTCCATTTCACGTTCCACACCTGGTTCACTGTGTCGTCCCTCAGACAAAGAACACAGAAACATCTCTAGGGAGTATCCCAACCCTGCAACAATCTGCTCCTCCTTTTGGGAGCAGCTCTTTTTAATTCCTCAAGCACCTCACACCCCACTACACTACACACACACACACACACGCACACACACAAAACTGTGTATTTAAATAGCAGCCTCAATGGTGCAGGTTATTTGAATGAAGGATTTGGCAGACAGGAAGTTGCACAATTGACTTTGGCGAAACTGTGCATGTCTTCATCAACCCACTGAGGAGGTGTATTCCTGTGAGTACACGCAGAGACTAAAGTGAGAGAGTGAGTGAAGACAGGAACGAGTACATGCTTGTGTTCTTGCAGCTGAGGATATGCATGCACTTCTCTGAGCAAGCAGAACACCCAGCAACCCCACGATTAAATCACAAATCATGTTGACCCGGGGATTTACTTTGAGAAAACATGTTGTCAGCTCCCCGTTTCCTCTTGAATTCTGAAAAGACCCCCATTACGCTGTGTGGGCAACTCATTCTGTCTACAACGTGAAAGTTGCATCGCAGGGGACACTGTGGGGAGTTAAAGTATCAGACAGCATGGATACAGCCTGCATAATAAAGTGTTGTGAACTGAATCTCCTTTGTTACCTTTTCACAACCAGACCGTGCCTCTTCGTTTCTATGCATGCAGGCCACGAATGTAACGCTAGCCTCCTGGCACACGGTGCGGCCTGCCTCTCCGTCTCTTTGTTTGCCACACATGTGACAGGGGGCACAATGGAGCGCCGGACAATAGGCCACTTATTGAGTGACTGGCAGGGAGTGGGATACATCCCGGATCGTCTGTCACCCTTCGGCGCCACGGGTCAGTGTCAGGTTGCACTCTCCTGTGACCGGGATGCGAAAGAGCTTGTTGCCACATCGGAAAATCTGGAAGAGGTCGCGGAGGTCAAGTTGAAAAAGAAAAAAGATTTCAATGCTTTTCAGCAGCAGTATCTTTTTATAATATATATATATTTACACAATGCAATTGTCATTTTGTGGTTGATAATAGAGTAAAAGCACCTGCCTGTTAAATTCAATATGTAACTGAGCCATAGAGAAACCAATTAATATAGCAGCTCACAAGCAAGCATCTTTCATCACATGTTTCTTAGTATTTACTTACAATGCTGTGTGTATGTTTTCATGCTGTGTGTGTGTGTTTATGTGCTATTAGCAGTTCAGATGTTCCACCGTGTCACTGTCAGCTGACTTTCAGTCATTGCCGTCAGCTGAGCCGATTCACCCGGAGATCTCCGCCTCGCGTTGTTATACGTTATTCAAGTCAAATGACACTACGGCTACACATTTATTTTCATGAGGGAACAAAATGGCTTTGTGCTTTTATTTTTGTTTCATAGTCATTTTTGTGCACAGGACGACTACATTTGATCCTGTTCATGATGAAAAACATAGTAAAATTGATTAGTTAGGTAAAAGTAATAACACTACAACTGAATTATGCAGCAGAATCCCCCTGTCAGTGGTATATTAGTCTGAATGATATCATCTTATCTTTAGCATTTGAGGTTGTAGCTGAAAGGGGCAGAGCTTATTGTTAGTGAATATATTGTTGGGTAGTTTAATGTGCAACAATGCCTCCCATTCTAAAAACTGATTTGAAACGTGAATTCTAACGAATAAATAACAGCAGTCATATGTATACAATGGATTGACATTTAAATGTTAATTAAAAAGTAGTAGAAATGTTGACACTATCCTCCTCACGCGTTGTGAGTGATCTGTGGAAAAAGCTTCATGATGGACATTTATTCATATTTTAATATATTTTTTTTAAAACACTCACACGCACCTCGTGGATTTCCTACAACGCTTGAAGCAGTCTGTGCTATAAAATAAATACATATCCATACACTGTTGAACTGAAAGCGGCCCGTGCCCTGTGACGCACTAGTGGCCGCTGATAGTAAACCTGTAATTCACTGTCTGCTCGGAGCCTTGTCATGTTTTCGCATGAGTAGCTTACACACTGCTGCTTCTTTTTTTTTTTTTTTTTAACTCTCTCTCTCTCTCTCTCTCTCTCTCTCTCTCTCTCTCTCGCTCCCGCCCTCCCTCTCCCTCCATCTCTCTGAAGGTGGGGGCAGAGAGCCTGTTAGCCGTGCGCGCTGCGAACGCACCACCAGGAGGGGAGACGCTTCCCACCGTCAGCGCCGGAGCAGAGCAGGGGAGCCCCGGCGACCAGGAGGGACACCGAGTCGGCAGCCCGTTTCTCCCAACAGTAAGTCGGCCCGAACCGTCCGGCCAGCGCTCGTTCAAGCCACTTGTCACCACGCACTTTTTACCTCTTTTTTTTTGGAAGCTGTGAAGAGAAAAATGGCTGGAAGAAACTGGGCCGGGTGGCGCTGACGCTCTGTGTGTTTTTTTAAATTTTCTTTACTCCAAAGCCGTGGGGTGACGTGTGAAGTGACCCAAACGGTACGTGGTCGCGCGGGCTTCGGGTGTACCTACTTGTCATTTCGGAGCGTGAATGCAAATGCGTTCTAGGGGGGGAAAAACCCCCCCCAGAGGATGGTGATTGCGTGAGGGGGGGGGGGGGGGGGGGAGTTTGGTTGGATTCTGCCCGGGCGAGGAGCGCGTCCGCCGGGCGAGCCGGCGTCGCGCGAGCCGCTGTGCACTCAGCAACTGCGCCACTCGACGTTTGCGCTTTACACGCTTGTTTCCTACGTTGACACGCGCCGCGAAAAAGCACGTCGCTTTTTATCAACAAATGTCTCCTTTCCAACTCTTTCCCGACTGCCAAAGGCGTTTTAAAAACAGTTTCACCATCGCGGAAGTGTTTTTCTCTCCGCGAAAAAGAGGCGAAGAAACAAACTAGGACCGCGCTCCGCGTTCGTCCTCCTTTTGCGAAAACGTGGCCACGTTCGCGTCGCGCGCGTCCGGGCCGCTCATCGCACACGGCCGCGGACGTAACGTGGAGGCTACTACGGAGCGTCTCGCGCCGGCAGCGGGTTGTAGAGGACATCGGGTTTGTGGTTGCTGCGCTGCGCGTGATGTCATTCATCCGGGCTCGGGCCATTATATAACGGGACCGTAGGGAAGCCGTGCGATAGCGGGCTATTTTTACTCTGTTTACACCTCGCAGTCGCGCTCCGGGTGGACCGGGAGCCGGTGCTTCCTCCTGTGCGTTTAAACGAGACCGGGCAGAAGGCCGAATGAAAAGCTGCATCGCGCTCTGATGTTTCTCCCGTTTGAAGCGTTTATTATCATAAAATGCAAAGTTGCATGACCAATTGCACATTGGATTTCTGATTTCAAAAATCTTCCCTATGCAAGTTCTTTAGTATTGATTTTCCTTATTGCTTCTTACACAGATATCTCGTCATAATCTATTTGAATATATATAAATGATAAACTAAATGTAAACACAAGAATTTGACATGTCGATTTAACAAACAGTCCAAAGAGTGTAAATTATTGCAAAATGTAAAAGTTTCACGGATGGTTTTATTACAATTTAATAAATGTACTGTCAGCTGCTTTCCCTTTAATAATCACAACTAAAAGCTAAGTTATGAATTTCATCAATCTTTTCACAGACCCCCGTTATGGTCCCAAACCCCCACTTTATGAATCACCGCACAAACACTTCCTCAGGTACCATGAACATCCGTATACTTACACTTGTGCAGTGTAGCTACCTGCTTGTATGCACTGCACACCCCAAACATCTGTAGTATTGCCAAAATATTGCAATAAACAGACCTGCTGCCTGTGTGCAGCGTCGTCAGTGAGTGATTATAAAGTCAATGGTTGAATCAAGTGTGGATGAATCGTTGCAGTGAATAAATGCTACAACTTGTCGAGAGCGTTATTCTTGGTCGTGCTCGCCACTTGCTGTTTAAAGCCCAAGAGACTGGCAAAAACTCCGGCTCAGGTGCATTTAAGGTGGGATAGCGTTTTTTTATAGTGGACCAACTTGAGTTTTCACGGAGCTCGGACACGTGTGGCAACTCGGGGGAAGATGTAGCGTGCCGTTCTGGTCGTGTTTGGCTTAATATCAATCCTCAAACAGTATTAAGAGAGTGTGGGCCATAGTTGGCTGCTCTGTGAATTTGAATACAACAGTTTTGGTGCCGTGACAGTGTTTGCCTTGCAGATGTGGGCGGAGCCGAGTGGAAATGGGGCATTTTAGCACATAGGAAGGAAATTCAGGGATGGGATGGAACAAAGTTGAACTTTAGCACTGGGTCAATTAGGATTGGAATCGACAACAAACAGCTTGACGTCTTATGGGCGGTGAGTACATGTGAGAGGAGAGATGAACACCGCAGAGGGTGACGACAGACAGGCATCTATGGTACGAGGTAGTCAAACAGAGGGTCGAATGGGTCTCCGAGCAAAGAGCAAGCGCAAAAACGATCAGGCTTGCTTTAAGAAGCAAAAAACTGCCAGGGCCCTGAGTGCGGTCATGCTGCTGTGAATCAGATGTGCCGTTCCGCCCACCCGCCTACCACACCCACGCATGCACTTTACCACTGGCACGATCGCCTTTGATTCCAGCCACCACTCGCTTTCAGATGGTAATGAGAGGCAATTAGGAGCCAATGTGTGCTAATCACGAGCCATTTGACTGAGCGCGGCTCATCGGTCCGAGCCATATGTGCACGCAGACACGTTCACCGAAACACAATCGAAACCACACGTCTGCTGACTGAGCTCAAGTCTTCTCTATCTATCTAGCATTTGCTGCCTGTAAGAGAAAAGAGGAACGTGGACTTGCTTGTGTGTGTGTGTGTGCGTGTGTGTGTGTGTGTGTTAGTGTGTAGTTGAGAGAGACAGAGAGAGATTTCCAGGTAATTATTGGGTGGGGATTTCACTGCTCTACTAATGTCTCTATGCTCCATTCTGCAAATGAGCTAATGCCGGGCAGGCTGGGAAAATGGATCAACCAATGGCTGCAACAGGTGTTTTATGTTGATGAATTTCGGTGGATTAACAGTAGTCTCAACATTTGCTCAGAGGACACGTTTTACAGTCGCCTGCAGACACGCGGTGTAGTCAAGGGTAAACACAAATAAGCGCCTTTTACCCGTATCCTCTGAGGCGTTGGGAGCCTGCGCGGTCGAGTGAAAGTTCCCGCTCTGTTCTCGCCGTGTTCTTCAGACAGAATAGTGTGTAAGAGGTGCACCTCACCTCTTAACTAGGGCCCCGACTAAACTCTTCCGGAGAAATAGCACAAATGAGCCAGAACAAGCAAAGGCGTTTGTTCGAAAGAACCCTGACTGTCTGCTTGTTTATGTATTGTTACTCTTGTTTCCTCCCTCCTCTCCTGCGTATCGTCAGGTCCATGTATTTTGGCACACACAAGCTTTTGGTGTGACACGAGATAATGGAAATTAACTGTTGACTAATATGAGATTAGATCCCCGATTCGCCCCTTTTGCACGAGCGCTGCGGGAGCGTGCAACAGAACAGGAATGCGGCGAGCGTGAGACAGAAGTGGCACAAAAAAGACGAGTGTGAGAGGAATGATTTTGAATTCATAAAGCGAGCGTGTTGGTGGGCCGGATCAAGAGATTGAGCCGTCTGGTTGAACCATGCGGCGCAGTTTTTTCCTTTCATCCTCCTCTATTCATGAGCGCGCCGAACACACATGCACGCACACAAGAGAAAGGACACCCGCGCACACAGAATCCTGCTTTTAAAGGGGATCAATGAGAGTTTTGTGTATTTTGTGTGAAAGAACATTCCACCGTGTGATCCGTGTGTGTCCCTTTAGTGCTTCGTGCACAATCTTGTGTTTCTTAGACTGCAGCCTCCGATAGCAATTCAATTCGAGATGCAACGGCAGGCACTTAAATCTGCTATTAATGCCAGGGAAAACATGTCGGGGGTCAATGAGAACCCCTTTTTATGGTCTCGTGAATCAGTGAATTCCCTAATGTGCTTGTTTAGAACGCACATCGCTAATTCCTTCAATGGGTTAATTCAATAAAAACACTTACTATAACATTCATAGGGGATCACTGTTCAGTTTGAGTCCCTGCTTCAATTCTAATCTAATGCCCCTTCATAACTAAAATGGCTGGTGATCGTTGTGTGAGGTTTTTACTGCTGCCAAGGTTGAATGAACGTGCATTTAGGAGATTCAAAGTGAGACAAAACAACTGGCGCCTGACTGGCGTCTGGTGGCTTTGAGGAGTTCACATTGGTAGTTTGTTTTGTATGATAACAAATGATATTAACTGTCCGAATCCTTGTTGGTTTTATTCATTAAATATCCACTTGAACGTGGGTACCGTCAGTTGTTGCTGTCTGTAAAAACAACAACAGCGTCCACTTGGGAGTCAAGTTTCCATGGCCGTAACCGATTAATACCTGCAGTCTGTAAAACGCCAGACGCTGGTGGGGGGTTTTTGTCCGGTGGAAGAGGGGCAACCTCTTCAAATCGATTAAAAACTTCAGCGCTGGTGCACAAACCGTCTCTATGAAGATGTTTTCTATCAGCTGTTTTAAAAAGCCCTGCGTCGTTCATAATAATGGCAATGAGCTCCTTCAACTGTGGCCCGCTCCATGAAAAAAACACACATTCCTCCTGTATTTCTCCTCGATTCCCTCCTCGCCTCTTCTCCTGCTAGCCGAGTCTTCTGGGCCTCATCCTTATCGGAGGCGGTGGAGGATTACAGCGGGGAGTTGACGCTGACTGGCAGTCAGACAGCTCCTGCAGACTCTTCTCTTCCCCACAGCGCTCCAGGCCCGGGACAAGGATAAGCTGACAACCTGGGACGCGGCCAGATAGATAGTGATGAAGGAGCGAGATGAAAGAAGAATGCTAGGAATCGGGGTACCACACATGTATTGGAGCACAAATGTGATGATTTCCATTTCCCAGCCGTTAGGTCTTAACTGCGAAAACGTTACTACTTCAGTCGCCTTATTGGTGCTTCTACTTCCATTCATTGGACCTGGAGCCCCCCCCCCCGTGACCCTCAGCTGCCAGATGGGTGTGTGCGTGGGTACCAACAATGACCCAAGCGTGAGCCAGGAGGATATGCATTGAGAGAGAGGAATTCAATAACAGGAAAATAGCCAGTGATAGAAACAATCCCTTGAATACCAAAACCCACCCTTCACCCGAGTTGCTCTTGGCAAACTCTTGCTTTCCATTACTACCGTTGACGCTGACGTCAAGACGCGGCACGCGGCAGCGCGGGGAGGGTCAGGACCAGGGGGCGCCCGCGGACGTGCATGGATGGGCATCATCTTTTTGACCGGCCT